AAGTCGTTCTTTCCTTTTCCTTCTCTTTCTTTTCGTTTCGAACGATGGGGTAAACGGCGGGTATTATGAAAAGGTGATTTCACAGGCAACGCCTGGAAATAATTTCGCGTGGAATAACACGCTATCTGAGAGGAGTATTTTTTAAGGGATTCCAAGAGGGAAATTGTGACACGACTTGAATCAGATTCCCGTCCAACTTTCTTTCATCGTTTACACCCTTCTTCAACCCTTTACGCGCGAGAGGCAGGGTGAGAAGAAAAGAACTCGATTTTTCGCCTAAGTACGTCTCCGATACTTTTTATTGGCGTCGTCGAAAGATATCCAGGAAGTTTCGTAGAAATTCTGAAAAATGCTCCACAGGGAATCGGTGCTCATTCGCCGCAAACCCTAGCTGGAAATTGGATCGAATTAACCAACCGTTGTGAGCTATCCACCGTGGAAACAAAAGTCTAACCCAGCGGGCGATTCGACGACGAAAGACTCTTTGATTTCCTCCGGTCTCTCGGGGCCATTTCCCGGCCTTCTTCCGTCATTTTCCAGGGAAAACGATAAAAAGAGAGTCGTGGATCGCCTTCTCCCTTCGATTCCCTGTCGTTCTTACCGGACGTGAAACCGCGAACGTGTCCTCTACTCGTGATCCTGCTGACGTCTAAGATCGAAAAGCTGTTTCATGCTCTCCCCTGTTGATCCCCTTTGTTTTCCGCGCCAGCTCTTATTCGACCGGTCTTTAAGAACTTTTTTGCGTAATGCAAGTCGATGTATCTAATTGAATTACAACAGCTCACGCCGAGGTTTATAAGTCTTCTTACGGCTGTTAAGATGTTCGAAGGTGAATTTATTTGACTTTGCCTACTCTCTGTACTTTTCCTAGTTTTTTCCCTTGTTCCAAGTAAAGTGCGTGTATCGCTCGCGTTCGCTATGATTCACCCGTGATACGATTCAGAATGAAACAACAGGCTCTGTTCTTTGTAATCTCGATATCTGTCGTCGTTTTTTCTCCCCCCTTGCCGGTTGGATACGTTTTCAGATCGCGTGTCCAAGTGTACACGGTCCGTTATTTTCCGCGGAAAGCTTGGTTGAACGAATGGTATCGACTGTGCGCAGACAGACGACCGGTCCAATCCATAGGAAACTCGCAAGACTTAACGATATCGTTTCATAAACCGTATCACGCGCGGCACGTTCGATTTTAAATGGATTTCCACGGTGGAACAGCCACGGCGGTTCGATATGTAGCCGAAAAAAAAAAAAAAAACGAAGCTGCAGCCTCGTTTGTCCCTTTTTTTCCGACAATTGGAAAAAGGGTAGGACAGTTTCGAACGGCAGGAGAGGAAGGACTGCGTAGAGTAAAAGCTCGGCACTTTTTACGCGTCACATGTTCGCGTTTAATTTTTCCAACGGGGGATGATTCGTCCGGAAAAATTTCTCCATTCACGATTTCTCTTCGTCCGAAAACCGTCTAATTTAGAACGTTGAAGAAGATAATGTTCGCCCCCGGGGTTCGTTTTTCTCCCGGATGTATCGCCGAGCTCTAATGAGCGGCTCCTCAACCCCTTCTTATTCCGTGTTTTCTCGCACGATTGGCGGCGTTCGAGGGGAAATTTTCGATTCCGCGCTTAAATGGTAATTTCATCCGGCCGTCGTTCCGCATCAGGAGCCAGATCGTTTGAACCGGGGCCACCCTTTGTTCAATCGTTTCCTTTGTTCGTGAGAGGGTGAGGGCGAGGAGGTATCGATTAGCACGAGGGGTGAATTTACCCATCGGGGATTCCCGTCGGGGGATTTAAAACACTTAATTGCAGAGAAAAAGCCTGGCGGATAATTCGTCGGAGGAATTCGGGGCCTTTGTCCGATCGACAATTAAAGCAACCTGCCCTCTCGATCTCGCTCTCCTTCACTTCCGTCCAGCTGAAAAATGTTAAATTAAACGCCACCACCGCTCGTGTATCATTCGATTAATTATGAAGAACGCCGGTGTAATTGCTTTGGAACGGGAGCGAGAGAGAGAGAGAGAGAGAAGGTGGAAAATGTCGGAGAGAAGGAAAAGGGAAAAGTTCGCAACGACCAATTAGGGTGAATTATGTCGAATGTAAGAATGCAGCAAGTGTTTCCAGTTTCACTTCTCCCTTTTTCCACGGTGTTCCATGGGTTACACCGGAGTATAATTTTTCATTAAATGCAACTGTCATTGAGATAAATCGTTCCTTTTAACCGTTGGACGGTTAAAGGTCCGAGAGTGAAGCGAAAACCGGAGCCAGGTCACTTCTAACCCCCTCCTGTCGCGAGTTTTCTTTGCCTATGCGTCGGAGAATCGGTTTTTCTTCGTCAGACTTTTATCGAAATTATGTGTATAATTTAAAGGAAAATAGCGTTATCAGTTAACGGTCGAATAAGAGAAAATACAGCATCTCGTTTAAAAAACTGGAGATAATCTAGAAATATCGCGCAAGTAACGCGCGTAACATTTTTCCATATTATTACAAATAACGGAAATACTCCAGGTGGATAAAGTTTTTGCACGAGCCTGCATATCTCGCGAACCTTTTACATATGCAAATGATACGGGTTACAGATGACCCAGCTTAGTCGGTCGACGGTTAAGCAATTTTCACCCTTTATCTTTCGCCGCCGTTTCCAGAAGACGTTCAATGTAATACAAACTTTCATTCACACTCCGAAACCCCGGCTCCGAATTTGATTTTTCAACGAGCGAGTAAGTTCGACGACCCAATTCTCGGGTGCAATCGGCAAGAGAGGCGTGGGAAATGCGCGTCCGGAAATTATGAAATCGTCGAAACGGTGTAATTCTCGAGGAAGACGACCGCCGCGGCGGAAATAGATAGTTCTTTCACCCCTCACTTTGTTTCACCCGTCCTCTCTCTCTCTCTCTCTTTCTCTGTCGTCGTGGAGAAAGAGCAGAGAGCCACGAGACAATTTTCGATTTGAGAGTTTGCCTCGGAAATCTATCGCTCCTCCCGGAAGCAAAACCCGTCGACGAAAGTGGAGACACGAAACGAAGTTATCCTCGGGTTCCCTGAATCTAAATAGAAGACGATTCGCTCAATTTCCGTGCGAACGGACACGATTACGCGTATAAACGTAGACTCGGCACGTTGGAAACGTTGTTCCCAGCGTTCACAATTAATAACGTCTCTTTGTAATTTATTCGTGAATAGTTGAGAAGTCGTATCGAGATCTCTTCGCGTCGATTTCCGGTGTTAAGTTTCAATCATCGGCGAGTTGTAAATCTGTCCGTCAGCTGCGGCGTTTAAAGAATGGAACGTTCCGTATATACGCTATCTCTGTTACAAATGAATGTTCCAGAGCCGAGATTTATTGCGTCGGTTCAAGACAAGCCGGGAGATTCTGGTCCTGAGTTGGTTTATTGGACAGAGTTACGAACTGATTCTGGGACTGAACACTCTTCTTCTGTCAGCTTAAGCTCCTCTGTCTTCTTTTGTAGGAAAAAAGGTCGGTTTCGTGGTTCCATGGACGTTTCGACCCTGAAACCCGCTTTCACGTGGTTTATTTCGTACTTAATGTACAAATTAGAAGTAAAATCGAGTCGGGATGAAACTTTGGAAAACTCGATTTCTCCAGATAAAAGTTACGAAATTGTAATGGAAATTGGTGGTAATAGAATTCGTGCTTGGAAATGTAACTATTGTTAAATGTAACTATGAGGCGTGTGGTTGTACAACACGTGATAATAAGTTCAATAGCAATGTATTTTATAACAATAATTTCATAATAACTATAAACATACGTAAAAAAAAGAATAATCTGATCAACGGTCTCTTATCATATCTCGCAATAAATTCTCACGTACTCGCTGATATCAATAACAACGCGGTTCTACTGTTTTACTCCCTGTTTCTCTCTATGATCCGCTTGTTTTCCAAATCTCGAGACGATTTCTGGCTAGCATTCACGCCATCACTCACAACATATTATTAAACCAATTCCACAAGGCGAACTGACAGCTGTAAAATGTAATTTACAATAGGAATCCGTTTTCGTGCCAACCAGCGAACAATCAGCTTGAACGTTGAACACGAAACGGTAAAAAAGATGGAACCTCGTGGAAACGAGCCACGAGTTACGCGTGAAAATTCACCGAACGGGCAGCAAAAGTGCTAATAAAGAGTTGCTATCGGTGCAAACCGCAGAAGAAATACGCGCGTACGCTCTGTCGATTGACAAAGCGGGGGCATTATTGACGCGCGCTCGCGTCCAGACTTCCAAAGTCGATTCTCTCGAAACGGAAGCACCGTGCAAAAGGCGCGAGGCGTTTCGCAATTTTAGCCCGCTTTCTCGACTGCGAATTACGCCGCGCGGATATCGTTGAAATCTCGCGTTTCGAGACAAAGCTGCTACAATTCCTCGAGGTGCTCTTTTCTCATTTCGCAGGAGCGGAGAGAACGCGACTGCTTTAAGAAACTTGGCTCTGTTTCCCGTTTTACGACGGAGGAACATCCAGTCGGTTTATCGCGAATTTTCGCGCGACCGCGAAACCCGTAAAAAAACTCCAGATGCTGTTCTCCCTTTTCCTCACCTCGAACGATCGCTTTTACACAGGGCAAAGCGGGGCTGTCTTCTTCGTTCTTTTCGTTCTTTTCGCGCCAGAGGAGCACGGTGGAAAAGACGAAGGGTACGAGCGATAAAAAATATTTTCGTTCCATGGATGGAAAAGCAAATTCCCGCGGGCGTGCTGCTTATTTTCACCGGCACGGCCGCGCTGCGATATTTTCCGCAGAAAGAAACGATATTACGTCAATAACGCGAGCCACCGCGGCCGATTCGTTGCCGCGAAACGGCAAAACCGTCCATCCATCTCGCGATAAATTCTCCGGACCGCGTATGGAGGCGGGACCGGTCCTCCTCCTCCTACAGCTCTCTTCAAAAATGAAAGACACTCGCTGGATTCTTTCGTGTATTACGTGTTACCGTTGAAAAACACGTTGGAATTAGGTTTGAATCGAGTTTGTTCCCTTTCGCAGAGGATGAAAACGCGATGGTGCAAGGCCTCGTGACGGAAGATGGACTGTTCGACGGGACCGTGGTCACAGGATTCGAGGAGTACTACATCGAGCCAACGAATAGATACTTGAACAACGAGGAGGACACATCTCCACCGTATCACAGTATAGCCTATCGAGTCTCCGATGTATTAACACCTCGTAGAGCAGTGCCTTGTGCTAGTCATCAGTTGCATCTACCAGATTCTCACGTTTCCGTGGAAAGGTGAGCATCTTCCAGTGACGTATTTTACTAACGATCCCAGCCGTCACGAGTGATTCATCCAACGAAACTCTTCCCCTAGGATCGTACGTTCTTTCGTTTGATCGCTTTATCGCTTTATCGCTTTATCGTGTCGCAGAGAAACTCTGTTCCCTGGAAGAAATTAAGCGGAGAAAAGTGACGCTTGGCGGATTAACCCGAAGCGACGTTGAGATTCAACGGAGAACGGTTTTTCTTTTTCTTTTTCACCGGGGTATGAAATATTCGCTAGCCGTGTCGCGTCTCAGCCGTTCCCTCGTTAATGTAACAGGATAACGCCTCTAAAACATCCCCGTGGAAATCGCGTTACGTTAACCGAGGATGAAAATGGATCTCTAACGAGAGACGCTTCGAACGTTTCCGCGCCGTCTGAAGTTTATCAACTCGGAAACACCGGCTGCTGCTCCTATGGCGTTAATTTCGTTAGCAATTTCTCCCGACGCATTATTCGTAGGCGTGCTGCACCGCGTGTTCCACGTATAACGAGCTTCAAACCGCGGATCCTCGAACGTTCTCCCGCCGTACGAATCGCTGGCAATTAAGCGTTTCGCCTGAACCCTTGTTGCAGCCTCCGCCGCGCCACGTCGAACAATCGCTATGCAGATGTCGTTTCTCTGTTTTTTGTTCCAGCACTGCCCACGGTTATGGCAACGACTCCAGGACGCTTTACGAACCTGTGCTCGGCGAGAACCTAGCTCTCTACTCCAGGGAAAATGGTGCGCGTGTTTTAACACTGGAGAGAGATAAGAACGCCGCGCGTATGGAAACGTGAGTGAACAGAGAGAGAGAGAGAGAGAGAGAGAGAGAGAATTTCTGGGTAGAATTGTTTGAACGTCGATGTGTTTCGGGTTGGTTCCCAGAATTCTTGTGAAAATTTATTTCGTTTCGATTTCGTCGGAGAAAATCGTAAAAAAAAGAAAAGAGGAAAAGAAATTTCCAAGAGAAAAAAGTTTAAAGGGACGAAAGTTTTTATACCCTCTCGCATAAAAAGTATTTCGCGAACGAGAACTTTTTTTCCCCCGTTGCAGAAAGAGCGACGGAGATCGAACCGCGAGGCATTTGCACAAACGTGCTACCGTCGATCCACGTAAAACCACCTGCATGTTGTATCTACAAGCGGACCATCAGTTTTTCGCGCGATACGGCACGGAGGAGGCTTGCATCGAGGTGATGACGAGGCATGTGCAAAGAGTCAACTCGATTTACAAGCACACAGGTAAATTCTCCCTTTTCCTTGTGAAAAGATTCGTTTTTCTTAACACGCCGCTCGCCTGTTTGGGATATTTGTGTGAAATATCTGTCGAGAGAAAATTCACCTAGCTTCGAATTTCCAAAGCTGCTCTCGCAACTCTCGAATCCGTCCTTCGAAGAGCTTAAGCTCGATTAACAAGCGATCAGAGCAGAGAATTACTTACGAGACAGATATGTTACTGTTCGCTAGACTTCAATCAGGACGGGAGGCCAGACAACATCAGCTTCATGATAAAACGCGTGAAAGTTCACAGCGAGGACGCGCTCAGGGATCCCAATTACCGATTCCCAGGCAACTACGGCGTGGAAAAGTATCTAGAGCTCTTCTCCGGTAAATAAATCTCCCCGGTTGTAACCGTACTCCGTTAACGATCGATTGTTACATGCTAGAAGAGATATGATATCGAACTGTAAATAATTACCTTCCGTATTTTCATTACAAACCGGGCTATTTATCAGCTAGCAAATGTAAATAAATTTTAACGATGTATACTCTGGCGGAGGAGGTAGAAAGGAAACGTAGTGTGAAAAATTGTGTGGATCGTTGCAGAAGAGGATTACGACGCGTTCTGTCTGGCTTACATGTTCACGTATCGCGACTTCGAGATGGGAACGCTGGGCCTCGCGTGGACAGGTGATCTGAAGAACGCTGGCGGAGTTTGCGAGAAGAACGGGGTAAACTTTTTATCCGATTTTCTACCTTTTAAACGGCAAAGTATCGACATTTTTTTTAAACTGGGAACACGAGTAAGTCGGTCTGATCGATCTTCAGTCCCTGTTTTTAGAAACGTCGAAACTGTTGGCCGGCACCAACTGAAATGAAAGTCGAAAGGTTTCTGAAACGTACGATTGGAACTTTGCAGCACTATCGCGGCAGTATGAAGTCGCTGAACACCGGAATAGTGACTTTACTGAATTACGGCAAGCACGTACCACCCGCAGTTTCTCACGTCACTTTGGCCCACGAGATCGGCCACAACTTTGGTTCACCGGTAGGTCGCTTGAATTTACTTCCACGAACGTGTTATAGCCTTGCCTCTCGGCTAAGATAGAACGATAGAGAAGAGGTATTAGCCAGGTTCTTGTCCGGGTGGTTTGTTTTTCTAGGACTGTCGATATATGTTCGTAACACGAGGCGCCACTTTACTTTGTTCCAGCACGATCCGGAACAATGCACACCCGGTGGGGAGGATGGAAACTTCATTATGTTCGCTCGTGCTACCAGCGGCGACAAGCGTAACAATAATCGTTTCAGCCCGTGTAGCTTGAGTGCCATAAACCCAGTTTTGAATAGCAAGGCTCGTTCACCGAAAGGCTGCTTCACCGGTCAGTCCATACATTCGCTTCTTTTTTTCACCTGTCTTCCTCCTCTTCGATATTCCAGCTTTTCGTTACGGTGTTTCGATCGATTTCGATCGGTGTTTAATTCCTTTACTACACCATACATTTGACGATTAATCAGATTTTTTCTGTACAATAGAACCGCAAGTGTCTTTGTGTGGAAACGGAGTGGTCGAGGAGGGTGAAGAGTGTGACTGCGGATGGGAGGAAGATTGCAGATTTCCCTCAACGTCGATATCCACCAACTGGTGAAACACCCTGTACGCTAACTCCAGAATCCATCTGCAGTCCTAGTCAAGTATGCGAACACGCGTATCCATTTTATTGCGAAAAACCAACTACATATCCCGTATTTCTCTTTCTCTTTAAATATCTGCTCTAATTCCGTCTAGGGTCCATGCTGCACTGCGGAGTGCAATTTAAGATTCGGAGACAAATGCAGGGACGATAACGGATGCCGTGACGCGAGCTTTTGCGATGGCCGATCGCCATACTGCCCCCCTTCTATCAACAAGCCGAACAAGACAATCTGCAATCGCGAATTCGTATGCTTCATGGGGGTGGGTATTTCGTAGAATCCATAGGAACGATGGAGGAACGTTTTCAAGCGTGTATATCGCTTGTTTTCTTTTTCTTCCACAGGAGTGTACAGGTAGTATATGCCTTGCATACGGATTGGAATCGTGCCAGTGCATTCCAGGGCCAAATGATCCGTCGACGAAAGCTTGCGAGCTCTGTTGCCGTCTTCCTGGAGAGAATCAACCCTGCCTGTGAGCTACCCGATGTTTTTCCTACTTTTTATTTATATCCTGTTATAAATAAACGTATCGATGATCAATCTTGCGTTGGTAGGTCGTCTTTCGATTGGAACTCACCACCCTATGATATACCAGACATGTTCTCCAAACCGGGGACACCTTGTAACGATTATAACGGATACTGCGACGTTTTTCAAAAATGTCGTGAGGTATAACGATGTTGTATAATATTGTAGGGAAGATAATTGTCCATCGAGAGTACAATTTTTTATTTCCTTTTTTTTTTTTTCACTATTGCACAGGTTGATCCAAGCGGTCCTTTAGCAACCTTGAGGAAGCTTCTGTTATCTGACGAAAGTCTGGCTACCTTCAGACGTTGGATGATAGATCATTGGTATGCTGCCGCCTTGATCATTCTAGCTGCCGTATCACTCTTGGTACGTATTACGTTTACTTCTATTCTAAAAACTTCTTCTTTTCTTATTCTATACACTGAAACTGCCTTTTCCCCCAATTTCAAACTATACTGTACCAAGAATTTTTATACCAGAAACGATCGAGGAAACGCGCAGATAAGAAACGTATTAAGAGTAAGTCTAGGGCCAAGCGAAAGTAGAACATCAGTAAAGATCGCTAGTACTCATTCGATCTCATTAAATCTTTGTACTCGACTCATTGTAAACCCTCCAGTGTTCATTTACCGAATATGCAAATTACTCGACAGTAATAGTAGTTGTGTGGTTTTGAACGAACATTTTGCTAACATCTCCTTAACGAATTTGGTATATACATGTAACTTTAGAACACGCGATCCCCGTGTCATAATTAATTGTTCACCACTCGACTCTTGTAATCTAGGTGGCGAGCATGAGGTTGCTGGGCAAACGGCCGGATCTGAAGCTCAAGTCGGTCACAATAATTCACAGCTCAACGACGGAAACGGTGCGACTCCCGCCGGAGGGAACGGAGGGGGTCACGGTACACCCTCCGGCTGTACGTGCAAAGCTTCCGCTCAGCAGAAAGGTCAGGGAGAAGAGGAGGCACCGCAAGCATAAAGACTCACAGGGTAACGGAGTTGACAAGTCCGGCAAGGACGCGTCGAAGAAGAAAAAACAGCCTCAAACGAAGAGGACGTCGGCGAACGCTGAAGATTTCGGTAGAAAAAGAACAACAGACGCGACCACTGCAGTGGTTCAAGATAACAAACGTAAGAAGACCTCCACCAATAGAGATAAGCAAAATTCCAACGCCAATGGATCTAACAACGCCGATAACGACAAGAGAAAACGCAAGAAGCAACACAAGAAGGAAGTGATCGATTATTCGGCCATTCAGGCTGAGAAGGAGCCAGAGCCAAACGCTGATCCTAAGAGCAAAGTTCGTTCATGGTTGCTGGCGTCGTCTCAGTGTCGACCAGAGACCGGAAGAACAAATGCAAGCGGTCTACCTAAGAGCAAGTCTACTCCGGTTGGTCTAACCAGCGCTGGGACCAGGTTACCTGTGACTAGACAGGTTCCCTCGAGGAGACCAGCTGAATCTAGAGAAACTAAGGTTCCAGCTAGTTCCGTAGCACGCAAAGAAAGGGCCAAGCTTCAAGTAGTCTATAAACCGCCTTTTAGATTCAGCGTGAAGCTCAGAAAGTCCGATAAGGTTGCACAGGTGCCTGCTCTGGCGCCGAATACCACTCACGCGAACGGTAGACCTAAGCTTCCAAGAACAGGCGTTCTTCTGAGGACAGCTAAGAAGAAGGACAGAGTCAGAATAGGCAGGGCCAGACAAATAGCGCCTACAGGAATAGGAAACAGTGCGGGTGATTTACCTGAGCCGGCCAATTCTGATCTCCACACGGTTCCTTCTGACTTAGAGGTGTTACTATCCGAGAGTGAGTTCCTCTTCTCAGACACGTGACCAACAAGGGACATTTTGGAGAATCTTTTAGCACGATGATCCTTTATCGATGAAAGAAAGGAAGGAATCCCGTCCGACGAAGTCGAGAAGAATACACTTGAGAATCTTTCACATGCCATCCCATGGTTCAATACTCGGTTTCATTAGCAGTAAGTATCATTAAATATTAGAGTCGATCGTTATCGAGACGAGTCGACTGAACAAAGAATCAAAAAGAAAGCGTTTATTGTTAGTGAAATCGAAGGTAGACGAGAACCAGCCTGTTTTATTCGTATTAGTCGTGTATTTAATGGCTGCCAGACGTGTTTTGAGGAGAAACATTGACGCGCAACCCCCGAACGAGCTTCTTCCGTTCTACCGTGCTGGAATTTATTTTTCTACGGGTATGTGTAACAGAGGAGCCACGCATACACATACGGCGTACGCTTTCGCTCTTTTTCATGTCTTCCTAGGAATAAGACGACAATTTCTGTCGTGCGTTCATGATAGAGAAACAAAAAAAGAAGAGAAGTAATGCAAGTAATTCAACGTTCGTGTTACGCTGTGTAATGGGATGAATTGATATCTATGGAAGTGCTAGTTGAACGATCCAAGCCAAGTTTTCTTCTTCCAAAGAAAAGGGGCCAAATTCACTTTAAACAAAAAATAAGAAAAAAAGGTAGTAAACAAAAAAAAAAAAAAGAGAAGACTAACCACGTAATCGTGTGCATCGGCGACGTGTACTAGTGGCACAAGTGGTATGATAAAGAAGAAAAAAAAGAATCACAGCCAGCAGGAGCGAATTTTCGCTTGTCGAAGGCGCGCACTCCTCTCTCCTCTCTCCAGAAACTTCGTTTCGCGATCGCAGCTTTACACACAACACTTCAGGGATCAGCGTTCGATCGATGCGAAAAAAAGTCGAGTTCTTGGCGTGATGTATCGCCGTATTTTACGATAAGAGGGAGACACGAGGGAGAGAATGCTTAAAGAGAGAGAGAAAAAAAACTGTTACTATATCGTGCCTATCTATCGTACACCACTGTTCGAAACTTGGGAACGGGATCTTCGTGATCGCAACAGAGAATCTCCTTTTTTTTGGTTTTCCCGACGACGATAGTTGCGAGAGAAACAGGAAGAGTCAGCAGGCAGCTTGAAATCCTCTTTGACGGCTTGAAAAGCTGAATGATACACGCAAACACACACATGTAGACACAGACACAGAGAGAGAGAGAGAGACACACGATTTTGCAGCTTCGTTAAGAGAGTGGTAACTTTTCTCCAAAGTTTCTCTCTCTCCCTCTCTCTCTGCAAACAGAGAGAGAGAAGAAAAAAAAGAAAGATAGCAAGTTTATAATGCAATAATCGCGGTTGATAGTTGAAGCTAGTCTATCCCTTTGTGTTTCTTCAGAGACTATCGTCAACTTGATACTTTTTCGCCTGCACGCTTGCTGTTAATCTAACGTACCTACTATTCTCATGGTTCCTATTTGCCGGCAACTCTCCTAAATAACCGCGGTGTAATCACCTTTGCCGGATTATTTGCATTTCCAGTGCGTAAGTGATGATCGATGAAACTCGTTGAGCTAATTTATATTTTCGAGACTGTAAAAAAAGAGAAAAGGAGAAGAAAAGAGTACGGGATACGTGAGTGAAACGCAAACACGCTACGTTTAATTCGAAATGAGTTTCACGATATTCCTCGCAGAGGAAAGAATTAACGATACTTTTTAATCGTACTGAAATAGTTTACCATTTTACTCTGCGGTGCTATTAGTCAATATGCTTAATGATACTTAAAAAGTGAAGAAGAAAAAAAAGAAGGAAAAAAGAATTCTGTGAAACATTCCCTTCACGTTGCTTCCAAAATCGAGTTTTAAGTTCCTCTCGTTCGCAGGTCACACGTTCAATCTGTACTATACGTATAGTTTCGCCAATGTTACAAATCATTTTGCTTGTTATTCCATTCTACAGGAGTATACGTAGTATTTCTCGAGATACTCTAGCTTTATCGTGAAGCTATCACTGTCACCCCTCCTCTCTGAATATCTGAAATGGTTTTGTCTCGTGCAAGGAGAAGAAAAGCTTACGCGAAAATTGTACCAGAGACTTGCGAGAATTTATGTGTTAAAAAGATTAAAAAAGAAAAAAAACGCTTGTATGTATCGTCGTCGTTAAAGGCGTCAGAAGAAAAGTAAGGATATTTTAAGCGTGACGAATAAGTTCTCCAGGAGACTTACGACGAAGGTGGGCAAAATCTGTTCTTCGTTGTCCATTTACTTAAACGAAAAAAAAAAGAAAAATACAGAAGAATTATACTGCCATAATATCATACGGATTGAAAGGAATGCTGCGTGAGAGAAATTACGAAGAAACGCTTCTTCGTTTTGCCCACCTTTGTGATTAACCAGTAGAATATTTGCCGGTTGCTGCGATTATAAATGAAGAAAAATGAAAAAAAATCCGCTTGTGTGTAATACATACGTGCGTACGTGCACTTAAATCGTAAGAATATGTGATTTTACTTTTATGTGAATTTATACATACATATAGTATACACGTTTAGCGAACGTGCGTGAATTGCGTGTCGAATCTCTTCAAAAAAAAAAAAAAAAAAAAAAAAAAAAAAGAAGAGAGAATCGATCGTTCTCAATTACGCGCGTAACTAATATTTAATTAACCCATTGGCCTAATACTACCTTTAAGCGATTAATTAGTTAGCAAGGAGACGTTTTACTTGATAATAGACGTTGATACTATTTATTGAACGAAGCAAGATAATCAGCTAGTGCGATTCGAACATGATTGAACACACTTTTTCCTCGTTTCTCTTTGAGAAAAAGATTTCGGTAAAGCCTTCGTTGAAATGCCGCGTTAGTTGAACAGAAGAAGAAGAAAAAAAGAAACAATAGTGAGTCAATGTAGGCAAATGGGTTGTCTAAGGAAATGTGATTTTACTTTTAAGACCAATCTGTGTTAAATTCGTGAACTTCACCGGTTCTGAGCCAGTGGCCATGTCGCCTGACTCCCTCGTTATTGAAAATTCTTCAGATAGATCGTTTAGTTTGTTCGCTTGAGAAAGAGAGAGAGAGAGAGAGAAAAGAAATAAAGATGAGCCATAGGTCAGAGCCGTTCATCGAGAAGAAGATATTCTCGGATGAGTGAAGGTTTATAGATTTTCATCTAGCGTAAGGTATAAAGTTAGTAGAGAATCTCGTAGCATATCTAGTTTGAAATAATCGACGATAAAAGAATTTCTCCACGATCTCAGGAATACGTTTCACACGAATTCATTTTCAGAATACACATCGTTCTCCACAGTTCTACTTAATGTTTTAACGATATAGTTGTTAATTATTGATTAGTTGATAAGCGACTATGGCGACTAGCCAGTCACCGAGAAAACTAACGTTCGTACTTATAGTCATTCCTAACACTCGGGTGCTCCTTAATTTGCTACTTCAATCCCTTCTTGAAATCTTTTAAAAGGAAAAAAGCAAGAAGAAAGAGAAAGCATGGTTCTTCTAATCGACAATGCGAAGAAATGAATTGGAAACACGTTCGATATCCCGATATTATCGCGAATAGAGGGGTTGAAAAAGGTAGAAAAGATCGCTCGAGAATTGCCTCGACTGTCAAGAAAAATCCGACCGGCAGAACGAAAATCGTTTAGCTAGCTGTTCCCGTCCGATTTTTCGATGCTGGACACACCCGAGGCGAGACTGTTAATTTATCACTTACTTAATATCCGATATAAGATGGGGCTGCTGTATTTTTACACGGACTTTGTATAGTAAACGACGAGAGCCACGAGAGCCGCGAGACCGACGAGGTTTCGCGCTACACTGTATATAAACTGTATACCAATAAATAGACGTAGAATTACGACATTTCATTCCATCCTGAAATCATCATTTTAAAGCAAACTATTCTTTCCTTCTTGAGATTTCCACGTTTCGAGAGTCGACTCGGAGTAACATTTCTTCTTCCGTTTCTTCTCGTCGCTGTCCATTCTGTTCTTCGTTATAGTCACTCGTAATTCGTTTCCATATTGAATAACTGAAAGAAAAATAAGAAAAATTCAATTATCTTTTATTAGAATTGATCGAAATTACGTTATACTTTTTTCGCGACGTTCTTTCTCCTTTGATCTATCCTTTTCCTCCTGTCTCTTCCGTTCGTCCGCTAAGTATTTAGCGAAAGCAGCGTCGATCTCGCCTTCTTTTGCCTTTCTAGCTGCAATAGCTTTCTGACTCCTCGCCTGTTTATTTCATATCCTCTAAAAATCGCCTCATCTTTAACATATTCGCGTAATCACGTTTTTACCATGTCTTGAAGAAGCTCTCTAGCAGTATGTTTCTTTTTTATTGCTGCTCTAACTTCTTCGTTCGCCAATTCGTTCTCCTTTTCTGCTAAATATAGTTCCCGACAAATCTCTTCTCTTTCACGTTTTTTTCTTTCCTCGTCCATCAGCTTCTTAGCCATTTTTTCCATCAGAGCGTCTTTCGCTGCACGAGTATCACTCTGAAGAAAAAGAAGAAATATAATATTTGAAATCAAATTTCATTTCTAATGAATTAATGTGTTTTCAACCTTCCCCTCAGCATCCTTCTTTTGCTGAGCTTCCTTCTTAGCAACGATCCTCGCGATCTCGTCGTGTTCCTGCTTCAACACCTCCCTTCTCTTCTCCTTCCAAAATTGTCGAGCCTTCAGAAAAGCCTCCTTCTCAGCTTGCAACAAAGCAACGGTGTCCTTCTTCTTTTTCTCAGCTTGCAAATCTTCTTTGTGCATAGTCTGTCCTACCTCTTCCAATATCTTCCGCTCGCGATGCTTCTCTTCTTCTTTCTCACGCTGTCTGCGTCGATTGTCGATCATCTGATTCTGTAGATCTCGTTTGTAACTGAATTTCTTCTCCTGCTCCTTCTCCGCTGAGTCGTCTTTAAAATTCCACGGACTTGACAATTTCGATCCCTTGATCTCTTTATCTTGTTCCTTCAGTTTCATAAATTCAGCCTTTATCCTAAGTAAATCTTCGTTTGTAACAGGTGACGCAGCAGATTTTGCTTTCCTGTTTTTGACAGACTCTTGCAATTCGATATCTATGGTGTAAAAGTGAGTTTACGTGTGTAAGATTGTCAATGAAAATGACGAAAGGAAAATAATTGTCTTCCCTTACGTTTACGACGTGCGAGTTCTTTGGCTAGCCGATGAGTACGCTCTGCTTGCTTCCGTTCTATCTGCAATTCGCGTAAATGCCTCTTCTTCGCGCTCCTACTCTCCATGGCCCTTCGCCGATCCTCGATCTCGATAGCTTTTTGCTCTTGAAGCTTTTCATAATTTTCCTGCGCATTTTTTACTTGGATCATTTGGACGAATTCTTCAACGTTAAATTGTGAGCACGATTTGTCGAATAATCTTTATCTTAATAATTAATCGAGAAAGAAAACATAAAAGCATCGGGTTAAAGTAGGGTTAGAAAAGTAACAACGTACGGTGAGTAAGATGAATTATTTTGTACACAGACGAGGTATAGAATAGATTTATCATCTTATGGGATTTTATGTCTGACGTTCTGAATTACCGATCGTGTAAAGAATTAGAGGATTTGTTATGCCCTCTGCGATATTAGAACGGTGAGTTTAGAAATTATACACGATCGAACTATCGAAGATGGTAAAGTCGACAAATGTAAAAAAATTATGATAAATCATCTACTACTAATAAACAATTACGACTTTTTCATAAATAATTGCATTTCTTCAGTTTTCCTGATGTTCAAGTCCTTCCCTTGATTCCCATGATGCCCTGGAAGGTCCATCTGTAATTCATACGAAAAAAATATTAATTTTTCTAATTTTTAATTAAAGTTATAAATAATTTCTAACTAATCTACTGAATTCACTGTTTTATTAAGTAAAAGCATACAGTAACTTTGTTTAAGACTTCCAATAATAATAAACAAACATCTATATTATTTTTTTACAAGAAGTACTAACTATTGCATAATTAAAATACTTGAAAATAAGTCAGAAACTGTATTTTATTATCTACAGTATTAGTAATGCTAAAGCAATTAAAAATTGACTGTAAGTATCAATTAAATATAATAGGGATGACGAGGAAAGCAATAGCGAAGAGAGACAAGGAAACGTATAGCGGTAGACAAAGATAGCACTAGAGAAATGAGTTAGACAAGGAAGGAATAGGGTTAGACAAGGATAGCACTAGAGTAATGTGTTCGACAAGGACAGATATAGGAATAGACAAGGATAGAAGAATTTCAAATTGAAATTGGCGCCATCTCTGGATTGGTGACGCGAACTACGACTTTTTAATAGGAACACAGAATATCAACAGAGGTATTAGACAAGGAACACACTAGTGTGCGAGAAGGACAGAGAGAAAACACTTCCTATTGGCTGGCGGCCGCCATGCTCCACCTTTCAGGCCCCAATTAAAGTCGGCCGGGGAAAAATCGTTAATAACTCAATAATTACAATTATTTTGTGAATTTTTAGAATTGAAGAATGAAGTGTGAGCCTTCAGCAACTTTCCCATATAGCTTTCAATGCACTAGACCCCTTCAATAATTAGTTATTAAAAATTTTAGTACGTGATGTCGGGAAGGCTACCGCATACCGTCATGTACCTTTACGGTTTTTCAATAATTTCATAACTTTCTACTAAATTCTCATGCAACTAACTATATGCGACTGAAAGGTAACTCCTTTAGCTATATTCCCATATAATTTTTATTAACATATTTGGTTTAGTTCAAGAGTTATTAAATATTTTATGGGAGAGTCCCCTGCTCATCGTACTCGAGTATACTCAACTGTTATGAACAATTGCTAATATCTAATAAACCACATCACTTACGTCTACAAAACTAATTGCAGAATGCAAATAAAAGTCCATTCTAGATTCTTCGTGCTTCAAAGTGCACAATTTCTCACGCATGTCTATTGAAGTAACGAAAATGCGTTAGGCTTGAATGAGACGGGTGTAATACTCATCCAAAAAATGTTGTATAACTACCTAACCAGAAGGGATATGTTAATAAAAATTATATGGGAATACAGCTAGAGGAGTTACCTTTTAGCCGCACATAGTTAGTTGCATGAGAATTTAGTAGAAAGTTATGAAATTATTGAAAAATCGTAAAGATACTTGACGGTATGCGGTAGCGTTTCCGACATCACGTACTAAAATTATTAATAACTAATTATTGAGAGGGTTGAATGCATTAAAAATTATATGGGAATGTTGCTGAAGGTTCACACTTCATTCTTCAATTCTAAAAGTTCATAGAATCATCGTAATTATTGAGTTATTAATAATTTTTCCCTGTCCGACTTTAATTGGGGCCTAAGAGGTGAAGCATGGCGGCCGCCAGCCAATAGGAAGCGTTTTCTCTCTGTCCTTCTCGCACACTAGTGCGTTCCTTGTCTAATACCTCTGTTGATATTCTGTGTTCGTATTAAAAAGTTGTAGTTTGCGTCACCAATCCAGAGATGGCGTTAATTTCGCTTTGAAAATTTCCTGTCCTCGTCCCATATATTTCTTGTCTAACTCATTACTCTAGTGCTATCCTCGTCTAACTCGTTTTTGTAGTATTAAATATGTACTTATTTACGTTTACTTGTAATTTCAACCACTACACTAACATAATCCCAATTTATTGATAAGGGGGGGTGGGCTCTAGAGCCCCCGTAACGTGGGACAAACAAATGCATTGGGTAGTAGATCAACTCTACCACGTCTGTGTTTTATAGTTTATTGATTTGTGAATTACAAATGGGGATTTTACAAAACTATTTACAAAATTAATATTTTGTAAGAAGAACAAATAAAAAGGAACATTATTTTCACAAATATATGTACAAGTATTCCCGCTCGAAGTGACACTTTTAATAGTCAGCAGCATTGCTAGCCAAGTAATCACGGCGTCCGATATTGGATGCCTGTTTGTTTTGGATAGCTTCCAGTTTAGGACACTCTGTGATTCTGTGACCAAGACCACCGCAATAACTGCATCCACGCTCGTCTGAAATGTAATGAAAACAAATCGAGTTTATTCTCTCTCTTTTTCGATAAAATGCATAAACGTGGACACGAATCGTTTTACCTCCCAAATTGAGATATTTCTCGTTTTCGGAGCAAAGCTCCAACAAGAACGGTGGAACCTTTTGTTTCGCCTCCATTAACAAATGTTTAAGATCCAACAATACGGATTCGTCGTTTGCTTTGTTAATAAACGTCGTCGCTATTCCAGTTCGTCCAGAACGACCAGTTCTTCCAATTCTATGTACTATATACAAACGTATATTATTTAATTAAATGTTCTACGGTGTAAAGCTAGAAGTATAATAAATTACCATAATTTTCAACATCATCTGGCATGTCGTAATTTATAACGTGTTGCACGTCTGCGAAGTCGAGACCTTTGGAAGCAACATCTGTTGCAACTAATACATCCTTTCTACCTTCGCGAAAAGCTTCCACAGATCGGGATCTTTCTTCCTGATCTATAAAAAAAAGTGTTGAACTATTCGAGCACTGAAAAAAATTTAATAAATCATGTTTGATTGCATGAAAATGTAATGTACCTTTTCCACCGTGTATCGCTACAGCTTCAACACCCTTTAATAATAGATATTCATGAATAGCATCCACATCTTGTTTCTTCTCGGCAAATATAAGTACAGGCGGTGGAGTTTTCTGCAAACACTCCAAAAGATAGACGATTTTAGCCTCTTGCTTGACATATTCAACTTCTTGTACCACGTTCATGGATGCTGCACCTGCGCGACCGACATTAATCGTCACAGGTTTTACTAGAGCGGAACGAGCAAAATTCTGAATTTTCTTTGGCATAGTCGCAGAAAATAGCAACGTTTGCCTTTGACCCTGTATGAAGATTTTTTTATTTTAATTCATATGGTTGTTAACACAATAAGAATATTATGTTAAAATATATTTACCCTGAAGAACGAAAAAATTGTTCTCACGTCTTCTTCGAAACCCATGTCAATCATACGATCCGCTTCGTCCATACAAAGATAACGACACACGCTAAGTTTAACCATCTTTTTATCCAACATATCCATTAATCTTCCAGGTGTTGCTACCATGATATGTACTCCCCTAGGAAAATAAAGAAATATTGTACAATACAATACGAGTACAGAAACCGAAATGTAGACAAGATAGTTACTTGTTAATAACTTCTAAAGATTCCGATACAGGCACGCCTCCAATTGCTAAACAACTACGTATTTCGGGACATCCTGCTTGCCGTAAAGTGCTCGTATAATGTCGAATGATATCGTACGTTTGTTTCGCTAATTCTCGTGACGGACAAATTATTAAACCTACGAATTAATTTTAATTTATATAATTTTATTTTTTCTATAAAAATTATGCAAAAATTTGTACCATACGGTCCTTCATTTCTTACAAATGGCATAGCTACTTCTTGCTCTAGGCAGAACATAATTACAGGTAAAACAAATACCAATGTTTTACCACTGCCAGTAAAAGCAATGCCTATCATATCACGACCAGATAATCTATAAAATATTTTTAAAAAAATCAATTATTTCTTATGTCAAAAATAATTTAAAATACATACTAAATATATACTAACACTGTAGGTATCCCTTGAACTTGAATTGGCGTTGGTTTAACAATACCCTTTTGTTCCAAACCATTTAATATACCTCTGTGAAATTTCATTTCTTTAAAACTTTTCAATGGTGGTGGAACATCATCTCCTTCAACTAAAATTCTCATCTTTCTTCTAATTCTTTCATGCCTGGCTTCACCAAAAGCAAGCACTGCTCTTGGAGGCCTCCAACTGGTCTTTATTGGATCCTCATACTGAATACCCTTTGCTAATTCTGCTACACCCATTAAAGCTTTATTTTCTGCTACACTCTCTAGAATCTTTTCTTCTTCTTTCAATTGCTTCTCCATAGCACTTTCCTTCTTAGCTTCTGCTAATTTTTTTAATTCGGTATGCTGATCTAAAAGGGAAATGTTTGACTTTCTTCCCCACACTTGTCCATCATCATCATCACCATCATCCCTTTCATTTTCACTGCTACTTTTTCCCATGATACCAGCAGCAGCTTCATCTTTAAGCTGTCCAAGTTTACCAAGCTTAGCTAGCTGATGTTTTTTGCGTTCTTTAACTGGTACATAGGGAACGTAACTATCATCTGGCTCCACAAGACTGGTTTCCTTTTCCTCATCTCTTCTGTACTTCTATATTACAAAATGTATATATTATTAATTTTCATTTAGCAACATTTAAAATATACTAGTCAAGAATAAATTGACAGGAAAAACTAACCTTTCGTGAATCCTGTTTATCTTGTGCCATTGTAACACAGTTACTATCAGATTCTTTAAAATTAAATAAATATTCAAACGAATAATTTATATACTTATACTCAAATATTCAACAATTATTTAAAACATTTTATTTCAAACTTTTTTGTTAGAAAATTATGTTTACGGCACTTTGCAACTTTATTTACGCAACGTTCGATTTGACACTCGATACTCGATCATATCGCATCAAATTGAATAGCTTGATAGTACGTATTCAAAATCTTACATTATTTTAATCAATTATTTCTGTCTAAAAAATTACTGACTCATTTTTGGATTAAAAAGTATCCGTTCATACCTTTATGAATATAAAGGGAAATATAATTAAAAAACAAAAATCTAATATATGTATTTCCAATAAAAACAATAAAAGGGTAAATAGCCCCTGTCGTGTTATTTGTAGACCTATGAACTTCCGGAATAGCATACATTCAATCAGCTGATATTACATAGTACGATTTGATAACACGTCAAGCACGTTTATCATTTGGTTATCTAAAAATTCCTCGTGCATTGAACGCTCTTTTAAATTGTAAAAAATTACTTATAGAATAAACTGCGCACATATGATAACAATATCATAGTGTACCAATTACAATTTCGTATTTTGAAACGTGCTAAAAAAGAACAATGTCTAAAGGACCCAAGACAATAATTATCGGGGCTGGAGCAGCAGGTATCGCAGCAGCGACTAGATTAATGAAGAATGGTTTAGAAAATGTTACAATTCTTGAAGCAAAAAATCGGATTGGCGGTAGAATAAATACAGTAGATTTTTGTAAGTAAATTATTTATGTGTTTATCTATTAGGTAAATAAATATCTAAAAAAAAATCACATTGTTATATTTTTAGCTGATAATGTTGTGGAGTTGGGAGCACAATGGGTTCATGGAGAACATGGAAATGTTGTTTTCAGTCTTGCTTCTCCACATAAATTATTAGATTCATCAAAATGTTTTAATGATTTTGATAGACACATTTATGTTACTGCTAAAGGTGAAATACTTTCAAAAGAGGAGAGCGTAGAAACATTAAAAAGATACTATGATATTTCTCAAAACATATCAGATGAGATATGTGAGGCAGAAACATATGGGGAATATTTTGTGAATCAGTAAGTACATAGAACAAGTATATTTATTTTGTACAGAATTAAACTATTGATATTCATCTTGAACATTTTTGTAAAAGAATATTATCAACAAATGCATCAATATCACTTTCTCTGAACCATGCTTGCATGGTTGGATGCAAATTTGCTCTTACTACAGTATAAACTTCTTTATCAGGGACTATGCATCTAAAAAAAATATTTCTGAGTGCAATTTTTAGCTGATACAAATAATATTTCATAAAAATACAGTACCTTACACGAGTATTAATGCATTGATTCCTCACATATTCATATCTTAACAGAGAGTATATATATTTTATATATTTAGCATCCAATTTATTTTGGTCTTCAACATAAATTTTTTTAGAATTATTTATCCTTTCCATATATTCTTGTGTTAATATAGGTATAATGAAATTCACCTAAAAATAAGCAATAATTTAGTTAAGTTAACTCTTTTAGTTTAGAGTAAATGACATCATTTTACCTGTCTAAAACAGTCATCTATAAACTCTTCTGCTCTACTATATACAAAGTTTTCTTGTTCTTGAAGTATAAGTACTCCAATTCTTGGCTGTTTAGACCTAAATATTTTTGCTATATGTTGTGCATTTTCAAAACCATCAGCAGCAAATGTTAGCATAACTATACAACCATACAATTGCTTAGTCTGCTAAAAAATATAACTAACAAATTATAGTCTCTATTACAGTTTTATTTGAAGATATTTTTTATGAGTATTCTCTAATACCTTTTGTAAATTATCTTGTGTAATATGACCAGAGTCATCTTTATCTTGTATTTCTTGTGTAATTTGGATTGGAGTTAGAACTAATGGTGCTCTTGGAACACTATTTGGTCTTAATATGGATGATTCTATACATATAGAAAACTTCTTTTTATTTGAATTGAAAGAATGTCTAATATTGCTGTTACAACAAATATTGAAGTACCATCTGTCCTAGGAGTTTGTGAAATTGCAGCAATTAGGTCAGAAATGTTATCCTTTATTTGATTAATTACATCAAAACGATGCATTTTTTGTAAGGCACATAAAATTTTATCTACAGTTGCTTCAACATGTTGTACATAAGCTAATAACACATAATAGGTTGGATCTTGCAAGCCCTTAAAATCATAATCTATACACTGCAATGAAAAGAATTAAAAATAAAGAATTTTGCTATCAATGAGTATTCAGTTATGTATGTGCATACACGTATTTGTTCCATTGTTAAACCCATATGTGCTGCAAATTCTTGCCATCCATTGTATGTTTTCCCTGTTGCTGTAGAACTTAGTAGTAAGCATAACTTTTGCAATGTGGGTTTTCCACTATGTTCAAATAAGTAAGAAGCATGAATTTGTGTAGTAGCTCTCTGAATATTTAATGCTAAAGTATCCAGATTTGGTGGTCCATTAACTTCTCTTCTCAACTTTTCCAATTCAGGATCAACTTTGCTAAAATATAAAAGTTTATTTTTTGAAAAAATAATAAAAATTAACAATGCTTACCTTTTTGCGAACATGTTTATCGATAAATATAAAAAACATACGTTTTTATGTTATATTTTTTATAGATAGTCATAAATTATTTTCGAATGCACCATTATTAAAGAAATATTTTACATATTTACAATTTATAGCATGACATCATAAATAATATTGTAAAAACACAATATAGAAACTTATACTTGTTAGGATAGTTATAACAAATATACTATAGTTTTCCCACTGCTCTTCTCAAAGCCGAATATCCGGTTTG